GCGGGGGGGCCCCGCCTTGGGCGGAGCTTTCTTTGGGGGTTCTTTTTTTTCTGCTTCTTTGGGTTTGGGTTTCTGCAAAAGTAAAATTAGGGTTTACAAAAACTTAAATTCCAATGCAGCAGCAGCAGCAGCAGCAGCAGCAGCAGCAGCAGCGGGACAAAGAGCCGCAGCAGGCGCTGCTGCAGCAGCAAAGCCTGCGGCAAAAGCGCCGAAGCACCGGCAGAGACAATCGCAGCAGCTGCTGCAGCAGCTGCAGCAGCGGCTACAGCAGAAACTGCAGCAGCAGCAGAAACTGTAGCAGCAGCAGCAGAAAAATCTTACGGCTTCTGAAGAAGCAGCTGCAGCCGCTGCTGCTTTTTCTGTAGCCTGCAAAGGCAAAGCAGCAACCCTAAACCCTAAACCCTAGCACGCCGTGAACACGTAATCCTGACAAACCCCAAACCCTAAACCCTAAGCCCTAAGCCCTAATAAACCCTAAACCCTAAACCCTAAACCCCAAGCGACACACACAAAGGCATATACGACTTCGCGAGAGCCACAGCACTCCCACCCCCGAACCCCAACCCCAAGCCCCAAACCCTGAACCCCAAACCCTAAACCCTAAACCCTAAACCCTACTTTGGAAAGCGCAGCAGCTAAACCCGCAAGGTCACCTGAAGTCCCCCCAAGGCCAACTCCTGCGCCCCAGCCAGCTCCGCCTCCAGAAGACTTCATCAAACCAAACTTCGCCAAACCCTGAGAAACGCAAACCCTAAACCCTAAACCCTAAACCCTAAACCCTAAACCCTAATTTGGAGAGAAAGCTACTCCTTGAGCCCCTGGGTTGCTTCCGCTTCTGGCTGCCAAACCCTAAACCCTAAACCCTAAACCCTAAATCCCAAACCCCAACTCCCCAACCCCGAACCCTAATCCCTGAACCCTAAACCCTAAACCACAAACTAGCCAGAAAACCACTCCTTAAGGCTCTGAGGCGCCTTTCCAGTTTGGGGCCGCTAAACCCTAAACCCTAAACCCTAAACCCTAACCTGGTCAGAAAGCCACTCCGTGAGGCCCTGAAGGACCTCTTCAGTTTCGGGCTGATGAGCCCTGAACCCTAACCCTGGGCCCTCGCCCCTATCCCTGGACGCTAAACCCTAAACCCTAAACCCTAAACCCTAAACCCTAACCTGGCCAGAAAGCCACTCCTTGAGGCCCTCAGGGGCCTTTTCAGTTTCCGGCTGTCTGGCCGTCAGCCCCAACTTGCGGGCGGCCATAACAGAAAGGGCCCCTTGGGCGAGAGTGAAGGAAGAAAGGTCCTGCAGCAAACCCTAAACCCTAAACCCTAAACCCTAAACCCTAAACCCTAAACCCTAGAG